GAAGGTGTTATTAGATTAATAACGTCGTTGGATCAATAAAAATCAGTGGTAATTAAGCCATTTCTTAAATTTGCGATGAGTAACTTCTACAAATCAAACAGTTCTACTGAATTAGCGTGCGTTGTAAGTTGAAGTGAGCCAACTGAAAAGGATGACTATAAGCACTACAAATTGCTCTCATGGATTTCAACTCCAACAGTGTCATTATTTTTCATTAGTACTCACCCGTTGTTAAAGCGCCTGGAACAGAAATTGAATAATGTTGAGTAGTTCGCAAGTTGGTTGTTGGGCACCTCCTTTACTGCTTCTGCTACGTAATGAATTATAAATGTACAGAAGAACCACATCACCTCAGTATTTATAAACGCTAAAAAACAAAGGAATTGAAGCATAAATACGCCAAAAGAATGGGGTGGCCTATTAAGGTTCAAAAAAAATCAAGGCATTTGACCGGTTTAACGCATTTCTGGTCTTCCAGTTTGAAATCCATCACCCAGCGCCAGGTTTGTCATGTTCCCGGTCTTTCGAAATCCCTTTTTGTTTTTGTTTTTTTTTCTTTTTTGTGTTTTTTGTTTTTTCCCTCATCTTGGTTTGGGATTTCTTGATGATCCTATGATCTGATGCAACATGCCTTTCTGGGAAAATGCAACATGCCTTGATGATCCCTTGGTTTTTTTAAATCTCTTAGTGGTATTTTGTTCCGACTCAGGAGTACTCTTGACAAAAAAACTCTCTAGAATTCCTTGCTAAAAGATGCAAATTGACCACGAAGAAGATCCTGTACGTGCTTCACCATTGAGTCTGACTAAGCCCTTGCATCCTTGACTTTGATGGAGAAGTCTCCTTCAAATTGAGCGATTACACACAGAAAATGATACTTTGGAGTAGGCAATTTGGAACTAAAGTGGAATTATTCAACATTGCTCACAAATTACAAGACGGAATTAAGCGTGACTTAGTGAGACGATGTAATTTTACTAGAAAACCTCATTTGCTTCAATGATATTTGAAGGCATTATTCTTCATGACTAACAAGACGATGTCCTTGGAATGAATGCATCGTTTCAACCAAAAATGAGAGATTTATGCAAATCAAATCCATCAAGCAATAGTTTCCTTAGTTAGTTGTATAACAATGTTTATCTAACAATACTGGTGGTAATATTTAGATACCAATATTTCGTTGTGTAACTTCCATTTAATTCGTAAGATTAATTTATTTACAAACGTCTCAACAAATATATTACAAATAAAAAAATCATAAAAAACAAAGAGAAATGAAAACCTTAATGCATGACAATAGTTGGGGTCAAGTAAAGTTGTATAAAAACTAGAGAGTCTATCAGGAACAATCGTAACTAGTTTTATTGTTGTATTTGCCAACTATTTAATTTTCAGTTCAACTCATCAGCAAATTACGAGTGGTAGTACCACTAACAACGCTCCATCAACCTTTGAACCTTTGAAGAAAAAAATTCCTTTCTGAAAAATAAGAGTATGAAAAGCTTGTTGGATCTTTTAATTCTCACCAGTTCTTAAAGCACCAAAAAAAATATTCAATGAGGGACAGTTGACCGTTGGACAACTCTTTTACTGAAGCATTCAATTAATGCTACAGAACTAGAAGCAAATGGCTAAATGCAGAGAGGCTATTACCGTTGGCGTTCACCATTATATATAGATCAGTAGAAGAGACTGGAACAAATATACACATTACTCCCTCGCCAAACCAATTTGTAACTGTGTTTCCTTTGCAAAGCATCCAATTCCAAATTTCATTTGTCTGGTGTCTCTCTCCACATGGATTCCATGGCGTCTTGCCTAGATGAACACCCACCGGACGAGGAAGTCGTCGCTGACGTCAACAACTCGGAATCGGAATCATCCTAAAAAAGCTATCTACAATTCCTTGCTAAAACATGCATGTCAATTATTACGGTCAAGCTGCATCTTGGTTCATCTCATGCTCTTCACGTTCTTGATAATCTCTTCGAAAGTTTGTGAGCAAGAGCTACCAATGAAAAGAAGAGACTGATGATCTAAGAGAAAAAGAATTTTACAAGTTCATACAAGTTGGGAAAATCTCCAGTAACTACGAGAGAGAAAAAGAATATTACAAGTTCATACAAGTTGGGAAAATCTCCAGTAACTTCGAGAGAACCGTTATTTTTCTTTTTTTGTTTATAAAAAAATGAGTAGCTCTACTGTGTAATCAATATCTAGTGACTAGTGTAAAGGAATATTCTTGGAAGAATTATGCATAGATGGATTCGTTAGAAAAAACAATTTATAATTTTACTAAAAAACATCATTTCCATCGTTGAGACTTTTCATTCGAAACCTTTAATTGAAATGGATGCATCTTTAATTTCAACCAAACGTCGGGTACGTACAAACATTAGTTTCAAGATCTTTAGTCTTTATATCCATTGATAAGTGGATATTTATCGTGGAAATTGAACGTGTTGCGTTAACAAAACGTGTATATATGTTTTTGGATATGATCAAATTAGAGTATGAAAATAATTCAACAAAGATGATTGTTTTTTGGTCGAAGAAATTAAGGGTGAAGCAAAAATGATTCTCACTTCTTCATTTGTTTCGTTTACAATAAAAAGCCCTCGTTCTTCCCGTCATGAGGAAAGCCGCACACTACATCTCTCCGTTCCAATCATCGCAGAATTTAGGTGGTCAATTTTCGGAAGTTACTTTATGCCTTTAGTTACATTTCTGAATTATTGGGTGTAACATTGTCGCTTATAAAAAACTCTTAACATCTTGTACCACATGCATGCGAGCAGCCATTCTCATGTCTTGATGTAATGTAGGTTGCAAAACCATCATTACAAAGTAAAATGATACAACCATCTGCAAAAGCCCCAATCCATTCTGATTCGGGTTAAACCATGAGCATTTTTCAATGTGTGACAAGTTTTCTATTGTCTTCATCTTAGACAAATAAAGACATGCACAGCCACATTTAGAAAATTGTAGATTTGAGACACCACCTAATATAACTTAACCTAGGTAGAAAAAGCAGGGCTTTTTAATGTAGCTAATAGGCATTCAAGTAGTTGTATCGATATTTAATAAACCAATTGAAGTGTTTACTTGTTAATAACAAGCCAAGGTTCAGTGTCAAGCTTTCAATCTTCCCATAAACTGTCAACTCAATGAAATCGATCGCGAAAATTCAGTTGTTATGATAACAATAATATAATTAAATTGCAAATTAATAAAAGCCCATGGTTACTTCTGACATTTATAGTGTCAACTATTATTAACAATTGTATATTAACTCGTACATAGCGTAAGAATCATATTGAAGTGCACCAGCTGAAAATGGGAAGCATTACAGAATTGATTTAATGGATTTCAAGTAGTACAAGAAATTCTTTTGTTTCTTTTTTTTTTTTTTTTTCTTTGCGAAGCACCTTGAAAAAATTGAATGATGACGGACAGTTGGTTGTTGGGCATTACTTTGACTACTGCTACGTATAAGTGAATTTACAGAAGAACCACATTCATCTCTATATAGTCGGTAATATGAAGAGGTTGAAGCATATACACACACCACAAACAAATTTTACTTCTTTAAATTTTTGGTGCCAACTACTACCAATCTTTAGTATCATACCATGCATCGTACTTAGCGTGAAATGCAATTAAATGGAAGTATACCAAGTTACCAACTGATGCAAAGGAGAGGCATTATGAATTTCAACTATAATTTCATTATTTCCATGTACCTGCAACAGGGGCGGAGCCAACCCCCTATGCTATGACGGGGCAAAATCTTCAACACTTGTAAATTAATAAACTTGCTCCTTAACATCTTAAATTTAAGTGAGGCAAAAACTAATATTTTGTAAAAGAAATTTAAACTTTCAAGGATTACCTTGTAAAACGAAAATTTTCAGCTGGGCCAATTGCCCTACCTCACTTGTATGTACCTCCGCCAGCTGGCTTGCAATAGAAGCCCCTGGATAAAATTGAATGATGCATGAACATTGGGAGGGTTAAAGATATCTTATAAAAATTGGACCGAACCGGACGGTTGAATCGGTTAGTCCGGGAAACTAGAAACCTTACCGGTGTGGTTTCTAAGATGAACGGGATTTTTAAAAACCCGGTCAAACTCAATAAATTCGGGTAAAACTGCAGTTCGATCGGAAACTGGCACCGGAAATCGGTTTTTCATAAATATTTTAACCGGTTTTTTAATATTTTTTAATATTATTTTAATCAGTTTTCATCGATTTCGAGGAATGAGCTAACCTATCAACCCGGTTAACCCACTAATTCGATCATTTTAGCGGTTCACTCTCAGGTCTGGTTTTGAAAACATATTTAATTTACTGCTGCATTCATGCGCTTCTTTTATTGCTTCTGCTCCGTGATGAATGCTAAGAACCGAGAATTCACCACCACATATATAGATGGTAAAACAAAGAAACTGAAACACACACACACATATCCCAAACAAGTTTTACTTGTGTTTTCTTCTACATAAGCTGAGCTTTCGGTCAACCAAAAGAAAGTCCATTAATTTGTCGAACTACCAAATTCTTTGTCTAGCTTCCACACGGGTTTTCATGGTGTCTTCCTCCCCCCATGGAAATCGGGTGCCCCATTAATCCTCTCTTACACACAGGTTTATAACATATTCTTCCTATTCTTAAAAATCTCCATCTTTCTATCTTTCGTTGATTCTATTTCCATGTTCTGGGTTTTTTAAGGCGCCATTTTGGTTTAAGATAAGTTATCAAGTACGCTACCCATCTTCTTTTAATAAAAAAAATAAATTTTATTAAAAATAAAGAAAAAATAGGGCAACGAATATCCTTGATATACTAAACCCTATATCATGTACGCTACCCATCTATTTTTATTGTATAAGTTACAGTTAATTAGATAAGTTTAACTCTTTTTTTTATTAAAAATAATGATAAAATAGGGAAGCGAATATACTAAACCCTATAACAAAACAATCTTTAATCTTAAGGTAAAAATGAATTCCTATTCAATCTAGCAGACCAACGAACTTGAACTTTCTTTTTAGCCCTGACTTTTTTCGAATGATTGTGGTATATTGGAGCAGAAACTTCACTGCAAAAGGACTCTTGTTCCATTGCATACTCCATGTCAAAATCGCCATCATCAGAACCATTGGAAGCATGATTTAGTCCACCTTCAGAATTGATTTCTTCAATCAAATAACTTGAGTTAAAAGTCTCAGTATTCTTTCCTATCTCCGTATCATCCTTGGAAAAGTATGTTTTTGGGGCCGTAATTGGCAGTAAAACCTCTAGAAGTGGCGGCTGGTGAGAGATGTTAAATTCTGGAGCCTCAAGGTTTAACTTTTGATTACTGGAGATTTTTGTTGAAGAGATTCCTTCCTTATTTGAGGATTGTGGAGAGTTTGACTTTGCCTCATCTTCTCTAGAAACTGAATCAACCGGATTGGAGGTGAGAGAATTGTGGTTATCCCCATTTAAATTTAAACAAACCGAGTCAAAGGGTAACAGCTGCGTTGATGGTACTGAATTTACGGAATTGCTATAACTGCGGTAACTATCAGATTTTGCGGGATTTTGTGGGATTTCCTCTGCCGCTGGTGAAACTGATCTTAGACTTCTTCCGGCGATGAAGCACCACCGTTTCTGGCAGTATCAATCAGGTTTGATGATTGTTGTTTCTCGACAGCAGCCACAACATTGCAGTGAACAGCTTGCGCTTTTGGAGAAGGCTGTGTAGAAGGCGTGGGATTCCATTGTACAGCAAGAGGCCGCGAAGTTTCCACCGGTGATTCTCGCCGTTCCTATGAAGAATTCTTCCCTCCATTGCTGACGGTATCATTCGATACTAAAGGAGAATCTACTGCAGCGGCAACATCAGAGGATGAAGCAATATCAATTTGGCCAGAAAAGGTGTGTTGCGCAACGAATTTCTTATTAGCAGCGACGGCTTCAGCAGAATTCAATTGCTGCAGTGAACCATCAATGTTTTGCAAGCCTGGAGAACTCTCAGTAGCAGCAGCGACATCCCTGGATCGATGATCATCCGAGGGTTGATTTAGGGGCACGACAAAAACTGCAGCATCCTTTTCTTGCAACCGCGGAAGTGTATCATCAGATACGTCAACAACAACAATTGTAGAAGGGGTTGGATTAGGCAATGATTCTTCGCCGGCTGTAATATCTTGCAACTGCGGTTCCGCAATAGCAACTAGCGCGGCAGCATCAACATCCAAAGACAGTGAAGCTTCACCGTCAGGGACCTCTTGCAACCGTGACTTTGTGATAGGAACAGTGGAAGTGACTGGATTTTCGGCATCATCAATGGTTTTCTTTTTGGCTGCATCAATAGCAACATTTGAGAGGGTTGGATTTCCTCCTATTGTAACCGGTTTCCCAAAATAACGTGATGGTGGTTGCTTCCCTTGCTGGTACTATTTTGGTGGTTGTTTTGAATGGGGCAAATCATATGGTTTTGGTACCATTTTAGTTGTTGTTGTGTTATACCGAGCCTTTGGTACCATTGAAGATCATGTCCGAGCCTTTTGCATTCGCTACAATATGATGGCATGTTTTCATAAAAGACTGGTTGAAAGTAGGTCGACCCTTCAACCCCTAGTCGGATCCGAATTGGATGCACCTTGAGGAGATCCAACTCTACACAGACTCGAGCCACAGATGGTCTTGACATATTAACAGTTGGGATGTTGATAATTATAATAAAATTCATTTTATTATAATCTTCTAGTCCTAAATTGGTTATATTTTAGTGATTATTAATGGATTTTGTTATGACTTTGTTGTTAGGTACCAAAAAGTGAAAAGATGGACCATTTTGGATTTTACGGCTCTTTTACAAAGTTTTACAGAGTTAAAAGATGAAGAAAATTCCAGTAACAAAGAATACACACAAATGGGTTCCTAGAAGATTCTTTTTACCAAGTCAACCATCCAAATCTTGATCTCATATTCGGTTGTAGAGAATCATGCAAAAAAATACTGATTTAGTAGAAAACTAGGATGAGATTTGATTTGGATTTTACTCCCATTTCTTTGTGATTTTTGTTCAGCCATTATGCACTATAAATAGTGGTCTCCTCAATTGATAAAAACACCCCACTCCGTAGCTTAGCAAGCTGCTACCCCCACTCTCCATTTTCATTAGTTTTGTTTAAGGCTTTTTTTTAGCCATGTTTTCATTTTCTTTTAAAAACTTTAAAAAATATTTCTAGTCACTATGAGTGGCTAGTTTTCTTCATTTGGTTCAAGGATTTTTATTCTTTTATATTATATGTGAGACTACAAGTTTCACTTTATTTTTTTTTACTTTTAATTCAAGTACTTGTTGATTTTAATTTCTTTTTATGAGAGTATGTACTTGATTAATCGACAATTTAATCAAGTATTTTCTTCCTACTGCTACCAAATTGTTTATGCTGCGCTATCGTCTTAAACATTTGGCACTAAGTAGCACATTAACAGATTATGTATGTTGGTAGTGACACGTTGAACGTGCATAATTAGTCTAACTAGGGGATCAATAGGACAAAAGTATTCTAATTGCAGTTATCCCAATTATTTTAGTTATTGGTTCAACCAAATTTTCAAAGTTTTTATTGCTAGTATAATTTAACATGGAACACTATCGTGCCCAGTTAAATTATACTAAGTTTTGATTAGGTGCTGGGCTTGGTCAAATATTTTTGGAAAATATAAGGTTTTTTACGGCTATCCTATTAAGCCTACGGTTTAACGCTTGAATGGTAGAAAAATAATCTTTTTAGTCAATGATCTATAATATAATTGAATTCATTCCTTGAACCAAACTTTTCTATTATTATTTTTCTCTGTAGTTCTATTTAGTTTAATTTGTCATTTTATTTTGAAGAAAGAAAAATCCCCCCAGTTTGCATTTTTATAAAGCCAAGTGTTAAAAGTCGGCTCTCTTGGGATTCGACCTGATTCCACTATTTCTACAAATTAATTTTTTGGTCTGTTTGGAATTCAGATTAATTTTTGCGGGTCTCGACAAATCCGTCAAAATTTTGGCGCCGTTGCCGGGGAGCTACTTCCTTTGACTCTTGGTTTTATTATTTTATTACTTTTTTTTCTTATTCCAAAACAGAAAAAAATAGTTGGTTAGGTGTAGTGTGTCTTTCTTCGTTATTAGTCTTATTATTAATAAAAAAAAAATTTGCAATTTTTTTCTTTCTTTCTTTCTCTCATTTAAGAAATAGTTGTTTTTATTAATTAGTAGTTTGAAAAAAAGAAACAAAAGTTGTTCAGTTTTAGTGTAGTAGTACTTTTTTTTTACTATTATTATTATTATTATAAAAAAAGATTTTTTTTTGTTTTTAGCTTGTGTTGTTATTTTCTTTTTCTCGCTAATTATTTTTTACTTTGTTCTAATTCACAGGCCACCATTTCCATTGCAAATCATCTTTTGCCTAGCAGCAGTGCATCGGTTGGCCTCCGAATTGGGATTTTGGTCTTTGAAAATTTTCTTTTGCAGCAGCCACCAACGGCTCAATCCAGGGAGCAACTTGTTTTTGGTGAAAAAGTGTCATTGTTATAGTTATTCGGATTTTGAGTTGTGTTCTTATTTGTGCAATTTTTTGTGTTAAGTTAACAATTGCCTTATTTTGTTTTTATTTTTTCTTAATCTAACTGTCGAGCTCTACCATAATTGTTTCTAAAAAAAAAAGTCTCATTTTTTTTGTCTGCAATAAGTAGTCTTCTTGTGTTAGTTTATTGTGTTGTTTTGCATCTCTATTTATCCATACTAATTATTTTAAAATTTTGTTGGTGCATGCTAGTAACTGTAGGAATTTTATCATTTTAGATCGCAAGTTTTTGTGTTTTTTTTTTTTTTTAGCTTTCTGGTTTATGAGTAGTCGTCGTACTGGAAATAGTGATTTTAATTACATACCTGAGATTGAAAAAGCTGCTCGTCTGTTAAGAAAAGAAGATAAGAAAAAGAAAGCTAATTTGTATTCTAGGGTGAATTTAGATTCTCAGTTATCAAATTCTGATTTTGATTCTCAGGAAGAAGAAAACATGGGTGAAAATAATAGAACTTTGAAAGAATTAGCTGTACCAAACTTGAATCAGCAGCCTCTATGCATTAATTTTCCAAATGTTGAAGCAGCATTTGAGCTTAAATCTAGTCAGATACATTTACTTCCTACTTTTTATGGTTTTGCAGGAGAAGACCCCCACAAGCATTTAAAGGAATTCCATGTTGTCTGTTCAACAATGAAGCCACAGGGTGTTACTGAGGAGTAAATTAAACTAAGAGCTTTTCCTTTTTCTTTAGGTGATAAAGCGAAAGACTGGCTGTATGATCTTCCCTCAGGTTCAATCAACACATGGAATGAGATGAAGAAATTGTTCTTGGAGAAGTTTTTCCCTGCTTCACGAGTTGCAAATATAAGGAAGGATATATGCGGCACTCGACAGATGACAGGGGGGTCCCTTTATGAATATTGGGAAAGGTTTAAGGTTGCCCCCACCATCAAATTCCAAACCAGCTCTTGATCCAATACTTCTATGAAGGTCTTCTGCCCATGGATAGGAGTATGATAGATGCAGCCAGTGGAGGAGTTCTTGTTGATAAAACACCAGCAGCTGCAAAACAACTAATTTCAAACATGGCTGAAAATTCTCAACAATTTGGATTGAGAACAGACGGAGGTATTAAACAGACTAACGAGGTAAGTCATTCTACTCTTGTCAATCAAATTTCTGATTTAACTTCTTTGGTTCATCAAATGGTTGTAGGACAGTTACAGGCAACTAAGGTTTGCGGAATCTGCACCAATCCTAGGCACCCAACAGACATGTGTCATTCTCTTCAAGAAGACCCAACTCAAAAAGTTAATGCCGTAGGAGGGTTCCCAAATCAAGTTCAGCGAAAATATGATCCTTACTCCAACACCTACAATCCTGGATGGAGGGATCATCCAAACTTCAGTTATGGAAACCAAGGTGGACAACAAAGATTTTCACATGTCTACAATCAGCCACCTCTATCTCAGCCACCAAATTCAGGTACTTCTCTTGAGGAAATTGTTAAAAATCTTGCTATTAACACTCAACAATTTCAGCAGGAAACAAAGGCGAGTATCAAAGACTTGGGAAACCAAGTTAGCCAACTTGCCAACAGTGTGAGTAGATTGGAAGCTCAAAATGCTGGAAAGTTACCTTCACAAACGGTCATAAATCCCAAAGAGAATGTGCAATGATGTTAAGAAGTGGGAAAGAGATCCAAGCAAGTACACCTTCACCAGTGAAAGAGGTGGAGGAGAAAAAAATGGAAGAAATCAACAAAGAATCTCCCAAAAATTCAGTTGAGGTAAAACTAAAACCTTCATGGCTTAATACTTATTATAAACATGTTCCTCCATTTCCTAGTAGGTTGATGGAAGATAAAAAAGTTGAACTTGAAGAAGGGACGTTGAACATTTTCAAAAAGGTGATGATCAACATTCCATTGTTGGAAGCTATTAAGGAGATTCCCAAGTATACAAAGTTTCTAAAACAATGATGCACTAAGAAGAAGAAGTTCAAAGGTAAGGGAAGTGTCAAAGTAAATGAAAATGTTTCTGCTATCATGCGAAGAAAATTACCAAAAAAAATGCTCTGATCCAGGTATGTTTACAATTTCATGCATTATTGGTAATAAGAAAATTGAGTTTGGTATGATAGATTTAGGGGCATCTATTAATGTGATGTCATTTTCTTTATACAATGCCTTAAATTTGAGACTGCTAAAAGAAACAAATGTGGTTATTCAACTTGCAGATGGTTCGCATGTTTATCCAGAAGGGATTTTAGAAGATGTTTTAGTGCAAGTTGATGAACTAGTTTTTCCTGCAGATTTTTATATCGTAAAAATGGGAAATGGTCATGCAAATTCAACTCCAATTTTGTTAGGAAGGCCATTTATGAAAACTGCAAAAACTAAAATTGATGTAGATAAAGGTATTATATCTGTGGAATGTGATGGAGATATAGTTGAATTTAATGTTTCTAAAGCATTAAAAGTTTTTAATAATTCACATTCTGTTTGTGCTAATGATGTTAATTTGATTGGTGTAGGGTAATCATGTTGAGCTGAATGTCGAGCATAACGACATAAAACAATTGCGCTTTTGGGAGGCAGCCCAAGTTTAAAGTTTCTTTCATTTTGATTTGGTTCAAATTTTACTTGATTTCATTTGTTTTCAGTTTGTTTTCATTAAAAAAATAATAATAATAATAAAATAAAAAATTTAAAAATTAAAAAATCAGAAAAAAAAAATAACTTAAGTATTTTTTTTGTTTATTTATCCTTTTTCTTTTGTTTTCAGGAACTCATTTGCTCATGATGAAATCGCAACTACTCTTCATTATCCCCATCATTGGCGATTGCTTTCACATCATGAACCATGTAGCTGCTTGTGGTATCAACTCCAAGTTTTCACATCTCAAAAGAAATTTTTCAGGGAGCTTCCAAAACTCAATTCTTATACAGTTATTATTAATTTACTGATTGCTTTGCTGGCTATTTTTTTTAAAGTGGTTGAGTTGGTTCTTTATAAAGTTGAATGATATTTGAATAGGAAATTTGCTGTCTATGTGCTACTATATTTTCTATTTTATTCTAGCTCTGCATTTTTATTTTGCAGTTAAAAGATATTGTTCCAAGCT